GGCTGTCCCCCCGGGTCGGGACACCCCAGAGGGAATGGCCAGGCTGCAATCCCTTCTTCTCCATTCTCCTCCCAGGATTTTGGGCATGCACACATGCCCAACATAATTTTCAAGCTACCACCATGCCACGGGCTAGCCCTGATGAGATCTCATTACAATACAGGAAGGTTACTGTTCTGAAATGCTGTAATATCTGTAAATTATTAGAAGATATCTTGCAAATAAAAATGCCCAAAGAAAAAGGATGCCAGTCTGATTTTTTTTTTTTTTTTGAGAAGTTTTTGCTATAGGGTGTGTGCGCTCGCCAGAAAAACAGAGAGAAACAGAGAGACAGAAAGCAAGAAATCACCCCCCAGGTGGGATGGCCACACCACAATCCTTTCTCCATTCTCCTCTTGGGATCCTGGGCACGCACCTACACACATGCGCCGAATGTGAGTTTAAGCCACCAGGTCCTGGACTCAAACCGCGGTTGACTACAAGGGAGTCCAGCAATATAGCCATTATGCCAACTTCTGGTCCCTCAACTCCTTCTGTTATGCAAAACATAATCTTTTCCATCCTTCACTAAGTACATGAATACAAATTAAGAAAAAAAAAAAAGCTAAGTGAATTTATTGGTATTTGGCTTTAGTTTTCTCTGCTATAGTTAAGCCATATTGTAAACATATTCATGAAAATTAGCTAGAAAATCACTTAATCTACAGTATTTGTAATGTAAGTCATAAAGCAAAAGAAAATATGATCCATCAAACTCATAAATACTGTTATAATTTCATAAATCCTAAGTGAACTAACTAACTGGCATGAAGTTTTAATAACATTTGGGGTCAGCAGGTGGCATGGTGGTTAAGGTGCTGGACTTCCACATGTTTGATAGCAATTCAAGTCCCGGACCTGATGGCTTAAAACTCATGCCAGGCTGGGGGCCAGGAGGTGGCATGGTGGTTAAGGCGCTGGACACTCCCACGTGGCTGACCACGGTTCTAGTCTTGGACCTGGTGGCTTGCTTTCTCACTTTCTCTTCCCCCTCTGTCTCTCTCTAGTCAAATTAACATAAAATGAATAAATAAGTAAACAAACAAACAAACAAAAAAAAAAACAAAAAAACTCATGCCACGAGGTGTGTGTACATGCCCAAAATCCTAGGAGAAGAGTAAAGAAAAAGGGATTGCAGCATGGCCATCCCCTCTGGGAAGTGATTTCTCACTATCTCTCCAGTGAGCAAACGTACCCTATAACAAACACCTAAAAAAAAAAAAAAGTAAATAAATAATATTTTAAAGTTAAAAACTTGGGGTCTGGGGTCAGCAGGTGGCATGGTGGCTAAAGGCACTGGATTCCCACATAGCTAACCGCAGTTTGAGCCTTGGACCTGGCGGTTTGCTTTCTAGCTTTCCCTTTCTTTCTCTCTCTGGTCAAATTAAAAAATAATATTAACAAATGGAAATAAATAAATAACTCTTAAAAACAAAACAAAACTTGAGGCTAGCCAGGGGCATAGTGTTAAGGTGACTGAATCCCAAATGACTGAATGAATATTTCTAGTCCCAGATCCAGTGTCTTAAAAAAAATGTGCCAGGTGCCTGTGCCTGCATGCCCAAAAATCATAAAAATAGAAGACAAGGGACTGTAGCATGGCCCTTCCCACTGGGGACTGATTTCTTGGCCCCCACCCCACCCTGGCGAGCACACACACCCTATAGCAAAAACAAAGAAAAAGTTAAAAATTTAAGAGCTGGGACCAGCAGATGGTGTAATGGTTACATTGCTGGATTCCCATGTAGTCAACCACAAGTTCAAATCCTGGACCCGGAGTCTTGAAACTTACCTTGGTGCATGTGCATGCGTGCCCAAAATCCCAACAGGAAAATGAAGAAGAGATTGCAGCATGGCCACACCCCCTAGGGTGTGATTTTTCGCTTTCTGTCTCTTTTTGTCTTTCTGTCTCTGTCTTTCTGGCAAGTGCAAGCACCCTCTAGCAAAAATCTCTTAAAAAAATAATGAAAAATTTGAAATTTAAGGGCTTACATTACTTTGGAATAATGTACAATGTGTTTGCTGAGAATGAAAACTGTAAGTGACAAGGTTATGTTATACAAATTTCTTTGGAATTCTCTGCATGTAAATTCTTAAGCAAAAGTTTTACATGATTTCATTATTCCTACCTTCTAAATATTTAGAGATTTTCTCCAGTCGGACTGGCATGTGAAAGTAAAAGAAAAAATTAGACATTTAAATATCAATGCAGGCATAATATATAAGTGCTGAATATAAAAATAGGTAAAAGAGTCAAACCTGAGGTTAAATCAGGACTCTTGCCACTCTTTTTGTCCTCCACGATTTCATAAAATGGACCTATGACATGCAGCAATTCTTCTACTTTCTCAGTCATCGGCATGGTTTCAAGTATCTGTAATCAAAACAAACACATGTTGTGAAATCACAAACTATTAATTTGACCTATACTAATACCAAGTAATGTACTATTTCCAATTTATCAATAATTTTGAGATTTTAGTGCACTAATAGACTCCCTAAAGGATTTACATTAATTACACACTTACTGTATTGGGCTGTCGGAAAAGTCATGTCGCATTTTTTCTATGTTTTTGTATGTAAAAATGTGTCATGATTTTTCTGAAAACCCAATATATGCTCTCTTAAAAAATGTTTCTAGTATATTAAAGATCTAAAAGTATGGGACCAGTAGGTGGCATGGTGGTTAAAGTGCTGAGGGCCCACATGACAGACTGCAATTCAAGTCCCAGCCCTGACGGCTTGCTTTCTCACTTCCCCTCCCACTCTGTCTGGCTCTCTCTGGTGAGTGCATGTGCCCTATGCCAAATTAAAAAAATAGTAATAGGGGCTGGACGGTGGCATGGTGTTTAAGGCGCTGGATTCCACATGGCTCACCATGGTGGCTTGAGAATCACACCAGGCACGTGTACATGCACGCCCAAGATCCTGGAAGGAGAATGGAGGAGAAGGGATTGTGGCATGGCCATCCTTCCTGGGAGGTGATCTCTCACTTTCCCTCTCACTGTGTTTGTCTTCCTCCAGTGAACACCTGCGCTCTAAGGCAAAAACCTCTCAAAAAATTTTTAAAATGAATTTACTTTTTACATTTATTTATGTTTTAGGTTTTTGCCATAGACACATGTGCTCATAAGAGAGACACAGAGAGAGGGAAAATGAGAAATTACTCCCTTCCTGGGATCTTGGACACACACGCAGAGGCCCCCAGCATGATTTTCAAACTGCCAGATCCAGGACTCGAACTATAGTCAGCTATGAGAAAACCCAGTGCCTTTACCACTGCGCCACCTGCTGGTCCCAGACTCTAATCTGAAGAGCAGGGTAGGGCCAGCAGGTAGAGTGCATGTTAAGGTAATGGATCCCACATGGCTGACTAGGTGGTTTGAGTCCCAGACCCAGGGGCTTGAAAATCATGCTCGTTGCATGTGCATACATGCCCAACATCCCAAGACAGGAATGAAAGAAAAGGGATGGCAGCATGACCATCTCCCCAGAGGGTGATTTCTCACTTTCTCTCTTTAGCTCTGGTGAGTGTACACATCTTATAGCAAAAACTAAGTAGATCGGGAACCAGCAGTTAGCGTAATGGCTATGTCGCTGGACTCCCACGTAGGCGACCGCGGTTCGTGTCCCGGACCCAGTGGCTTAAAACTCACGCCGGGCGCGTGTGCGTGCATGCCCAAGATCCCGAGCGGAGAATGGAGGAGAAGGGATTGTGGCGTGACCATCCCCCCTGGGGGGTGATTTCTCGCTTTCTGTCTCTCTGTCTCTCTCTGTCTGTCTGGCGAGCGCACGCGCCCTACAGTGAAAATCTCTCCAAAAAAAAAAAAAAAAAAAACTAAGTAGATAAATACATATCAGGGTAAATTAACTAAAGAGGTATTCAACTGAATAGCTATCAAATGATGACCAGAAAAATTAAAGTATTTTTATATATGGAATATTTTACACATATTTTTTAAAAGTAAGTTAGCTCTTGGGAACCAGCAGTTAGCGTAATGGCTATGTTGCTGGATTCCCATGTAGTCGACCGCGGTTCGCGTCCCAGACCCGGTGGCTTGAAACTCATGCTGGGCGCATGTGCGTGTGTGCCCAAGATCCCGAGAGGAGAATGGAGGAGAGGGATTGCGGCGTGGCCATCCCCCCTGGGGGGTGATTTCTCGCTTTCTGTCTCTCTGTCTCTCTCTGTCTGGCGAGCGCACGCACCCTACAGCGAAAATCTCTCCAAAAAAAAAAGTAAGGTAGCTCTGTATATGATTTAAAAATGACCTATAGGGCTAGCAGGTGGCATGGTGGTTAAGGGTGCTAAACTCCCATATAGCCCACTGCAGTTCAAGTCCCAGACCTGGAGGCTTGCTTTCTCACTTTCCCTCTCTCTCTGACACACACACTGTCCCTCTCTGTTCAAATTAAAATGAATAAATAAATAAATAAAGTTAAATAAAATAATTCTTTTTTTTTTTTGAGAGGTTTTTGCTCTCGGTCCCGTGTGGTTTC